CTTCAGTCGATTTCATTTTTCCTTTCTTAGAGTTTGCTCGTCAGTAGAGTCCTTTTATTGAATTTTTCGAATTTGCTCGTCATTAGAGTCTCTTTTTTGCAATTTTTAAGTTTGCTCGTCAGTAGAGACTCTTTTAGGTTTTTTTATTGGTTTGCTCGTCAGTAGAGTTCCTTGTTGTATTTTCTAAGTTTGCTCATCGATAGTCATTTATATTTTTCTATTTTCTCAGTTTACTCGTCAGTAGAGTCCCTCTTTCATATTTTTACAGTTTGCTCAACGGTAAGTCTTTAAGAAAGAATAAACAATTGAGTTTCTTATATCCAAATGGAACACTACTAACGAACAAACCAGTTCTGGATTTTAAGAAGAAATAACATATGGGATAATTGTTCAAAGAAGGGACTCTACTGACAAGCAAATTACCATTAAAAAGAGCAAGAAACTCTACTGACGAACAAAATTCGATTAAAAAAAAGGGACTCTACTGAGGGCAAACTCGAAAAATATGGAAAAAGAGACTCTGTTTCAGGATTACAAAGAGCGATCTTTTATCCTAGACCTGCCTCTTCATTTTATCTTCTATTATCTTATATAAAATCGTCTCGATTTCTGTGAAATCCGATCGTCGAATCGTCAAATCGTCAAATCGTTAAATGCTCTTTTAACGATCCGATTAACGCCCGTTTAATGTTTGGCATCGTAACGGCGGCGACGAAACCGAAGGCGAAGGGAAATCCCCCGAACGAGCAGAAGTGGGATGACAGAAGGAGACGATCGAAGCGCTTTAGTGGTAGATCACACGTTATTTGTTCTGTAAACAGACGCTTGGCGGCGGGGCGGTAGGGCGATAGTCGATGAGAGGAATTAGATAGGAATTAGAAGTCGGAGAGAAAAATACTAAATGGTAATAGAGTGATAAAGGACTCTACTGACGAGCAAATTATATATAAAGTTGGAAGATAAAAAAGTTTTATATTTAGTCCAGAATATATTAAAAAAGGGACTCTACTGACAAGCAACTTAAATGTCGATCCAGAAGATTAAAAAAGGGACTCTACTGACAAGCAACTTAAATGTCGATCCAGAAGATTAAAAAAGGGACTCTACTGATAAAAAGTAAATTAAATAATAATAATTATAAATAAGAAAAAGGACTCTACTGACGAGCAAATTAAGTTAAAAAATAGATGATGAAAAAAGGACTTCACTGACGAGCAACTTTAATTTTGATCTATAAGATTTAAAGCGACTCTACTGACGAAACAAAATATTCGTTTTTTTTTTAAGCTTTACAATTATATAGTTAATAATTGTAAAAAATGGACTCTACCGACTAGCAAATGAAGTTGATAAATCTATGATAAGAAAGGGACTATACTGACGAGCAAACAAAAATTAATGAACACATCTAATAGTTAGTCTTTTTATTTCAAGGTGCATTTTAAATTTGATCATCAGTAGAGTTCTTTTTTTGTTTCAACGTTTGCTTGTCAGTAGAGTCCCTTTTTAATTCTTGAAATCAAAATTAAATTCGAATTCTATTTTGCTCGTCAGTAGAGTTTCTTTTTTTGTTTTAAGGTGCAAGATTCGCTCGTTAGTAGAGTTCTTTTTTAATTACAAAGTACAATTTAAAATTGCTCGTCAGTAGAGTCCTTTTCTAGTTTCAAAATATTTTTTAAATTTGCTCGTTAGAAGAGTCCCTTTCCAATCTTTTCCAATATCATAAAAAAAGTTTGCTCGTCAGGAGAGTCATTTTTTATTATTTTTATCAAATTTTGCTCGATAGTAGAGTTCTTTTTTCTTCATTTCAATTTGCTCGTCGGTAGTTCTTTGTTTTTTTTATTGATTTCATCGTCAGTAGAGTTCTTTTTCCTTTTTTATTTCAATTTGGTCGTCAGTAGAGTTCTTTTTTCTCTATTTCAATTTGCTTGTCGGTAGTTCTATTTGTTTTTTCATTGATTTTATCGTCAGTAGAGTTCTTTTTTCTTTTTTATTTCTATTTGGTCGTCAGTAGAGTTAGTTGTTTTTGTTAAATCTGTAAATTTACTTGGCTCGTTAGTAGATTTTTATTTCCTTAACAGTATTATTTGATTTGCTTGTCAGTAGAGTTCTTTCGGTGAATAAAAAATATACTTCACAGTCATAATAGTTCTAGAAATTTAGTTTGCTTGTCAGTCGAGTCTAGTTTTCCGGGTCAGCTAGTATGTATATATATATATATATATATATATATATATATATATATATATATATACACATATATACATATGCATCTTTTCGTTATATAAATAAATCAATTCCGCCTGCAACTTATGCAATTCAATAACATTAGTACACAAATCCGCCAACAAGCTATTCTCTTGCATCTCTTTCTATCCCTTACACAAAACAAGAATTTCTATACTATTTCTATCTCTTTCTTCGTCCTTCGTCCTTCGTCGTCGTATAATGTAATGTTATTAAATAATAATATGAAAATATTATCATATAATTTCATATAAGGATTTTCATTCGGGGCGCAGCCGACGACGTCATTTTATTTTATTTTTAAGAAATCTTTTTAAGAAAAATTGAAAAATAGGAAAAGAAATTAAATGAAATATGAAGGGATGAAAGAAATTGTTGGGGATGTTTATTAAATGCTGAAAAGTGCAGTAAGGGAATAATTATGTTACGAAATAAGAGATTTTTTGTTTTGCTCGTCAGTAGAGTCACTTTTTTGTGTTTTTATTAGTTTGCTCGTTAGTAGAGTCCCCTTTTATCACATTTTTAGAATTTGCTTGTCAGTAGGGTCCCTTTTTAGCCTTGATCTAATTTAATACGTCAGTAGAGTCCTTTTTTCATCATTAAGATCGAAATTTATATTTTGCTCGTCAGTAGAGTCAATTTTAGCCTTGATCTAATTTAATTCGTAAGTAGAGTCCTTTTTCATCATTAAGATCGAAATTTATATTTTTCTCATCAGTAGAGTTCCTCTTATGTCTAATTTTATAGTTTGCTTGTCAGTAGAGTTCTTTTTTATCGATTTGCATGTCAGTAGAGTCCCTTTTTATTTTCTTTCTCTTTTTTTGTCAGTAGAGTTCATTTTGGCATTTTTTTCGGTTTGTTTGTCAGTATAGTCCTTTTTCTTCATTGCAAAATTAAGTTTTCTTGTAAGTAGAGTCTTTTTTTTTATTTTTTTATTTTGCTCGTCAGTAGAGTCCCTTTTTATATAATTTTAGTTTTTGCTCGTCAGTAGAGTCCCTTTTTACCTAATTTTATTTTGATCGTCAGTCGAGTCCCTTTTTGATTTTGTTTCTCATTTTGTTCGTCAGCAGAGTCCCTATTCATTTCGGTCTAGGCACAATCTAAGTGACAACTTCTCACAAAAATATTAACAATTGGATTTAGAATGTGTCTTTAGCAGCACTTTTTTAAATTTGTCAAATTATCGAAAAATGTGCCTGTCTAAGCACAGTCTAAGCGACATACTGATAGCGACATACTAATCCAAAATTACAAAAATATTTTATGGAAAATAAAATAAGATGTAATAATTTTCTACTTATTCTCAAAAGCAATTGTTTTGTCAATACGAGCAGAAATTTCTTTGAATCATTCAAATCGGTTGATCCGTGCGCCCGAAAACGTGGACGAAAAAATGTGAACATACAAAACACACACACATCCATTACGTTTTCTGAGGTATGCCCCTTAAAAATGTTCAGAAACCTCTGAAACGTGAAGAAATGCAAAAATTTTCATTTTCGATTTTCGGCCCATTACTATAACTACTACCCTACGGGAAGTTAATAAAATCTCTAATTGTTTTATAAAGGGTTGAGTGAATAAAAACATTTATATAATTCATAGTGCAATTTAATACAAACCAAAAACAGTTCTATTATTATTGAGCATTTAAATAATATTGAGTGAAGATAAACAGAAGTGTGCAAGTGCATCTATATAACAAAAACCACCAAAAAACACTTAAAAAATATTTAAAAATTATTTTAAAATAATAAATTATTATTTATTTAAACCAAAGTGCATTTAATAACAAATTAAAAACTAAACAACAGTTCTGGGCATCCCGGTGCCCTTAAAATACAGGGGCGGAGTTACAACCCTACAAGAGCCCCCTATTTCTTGTAAGCTCCGCCCCTGTATGAAATGCGACCCTAGATGTCGCCTCTTGAGCTACAGCATTTGTAAGAGTTTGAAAAAACTAGAAAAGGTTAATGATAATGAATAATGAGATTAGTTTTATTCGCCGCCAGTTTTTGTGTACGACGTCGACAATTTTTGTTTCTATTTCAGGATAATTAAGAATA